TCCTCCTAAACCCCCCTTTTTAGGGTATCATGTTAGGGAATATTTCCAGAGGATAGGGAAAATTTCTAGATTCAGGGAGTTTAACATTTCTAAACTTAAATTTAAAATTTTCAGAAAAAAATCTAAATTTTCGTACATTTCCAAAATTCTGATTTCTGATTCTTTCTCTGTCTATGTTAGTCTTAGTAGATCACAACCTGATATTTCAAACAGTGGTCTCAAGAAAATATGAAAAGGGGTGTGGTTAGAAAATGTTCACCTGGTACACCTTTAGGGCGTTCCCCTGCTGTTGTCTGGGCGGACCAAACCATGTTAGAGTGGGGGCGGGGAATCCATGATGGGCAGAACATCTAGAAAATAACATAATGTTAGGGTTAACTGTAATTATATGTACATGGATATTATTGAATCAAATTTAAATGCAAAATGTCAAAAAGAAAATATAAGTTAAAATTTTCTCAAAATTAAAAAGAAAACATTTCTAACCTTAAGTCGACAGTATCTCCCTCGACAGTGTTGATCAGTCCTTCTTCTATACTACCTCCTTCTATACTCATCTAGACAATCATGCAATCATTCAATTAATTAGTCAACTAATCAATCATTTCAACAGTTTTAATCAGCACGTCTTCAACACCACCACATGCTATACAATCAATCAATCAATCAACGGACTTAATCAGTTCTTCTTTAGTCAAGGAAATCACTCATTCAATCAATCAATCAATCGACAGTTTTAATCAGTAAGTCTTCAACACCTCCGCCTTCTATACTCATTCATACTTATTCAGTTAATAAATCAATCAATCAACAGACTTAATCAAATCTTCTTTTATCAAGTCAATCACTCATTCAATCAATCAATCATTTGATAGATTAATTAATTAATCAATCAATCAAAAGTGTTGAATACCCGTCTTTAATAATACCTCCTCCCATATTTATCTATTCATGCGATCAAAAACTCATTTAATTAATTAACCAATCAATTAATTAATCAATCAGTCAACCAGTTTATCAATTACTATATGAAATCAGAAATTGCAACTTCCATAATTTGGACAGTAAGCAAACTTGTTTGGTTGGATATGTTAGCAAACTTGTTTGGTTGGATATGTGAGCAAACTTGTTTGGTTGGATATGTAAGCAAACTTGTTTGGTTGGATATGTGAGCAAACTTGATTTGGTTGGATATGTGAGAAAACTTGTTTGGTTGGATATGTGAGCAAACTTGTTTGGTTGGATATGTAAGCAAACTTGTTTGGTTGGATATGTGAGCAAACTTGCTTGATTGGATATGTAAAGAAACTTGTTTGGTTGGATGTGTAAGCAAACTTCTTTGGTTGGATATGTATACAAACTTGTTTGGTTGGATATGTAAGAAAATTTGCTTTGTTGGATATGTAAACAAACTTGTTTGGTTGGATATGTAAACAAACTTGTTTGGTTGGACAGTAAAGCAAACTTGTTTGGTTGGATATGTGAGCACACTTGTTTTGGTTTGATATGTATGCAAGCTTGTTTTGTTGGATATGTAAACAAGCTTGTTTGGATGGATATGTATAATCAAACTTATTTGCTTAAATATGGAAGCAAACTTGTTTGGTTGGATATGGAAGCAAACTTGTTTGGTTGGATATGGAAGAAAACTTGTTTGGTTGGATATGGAAGCAATCTTGTTTGGTTGAATATGTAATCAAATTTGATGGCTGCATATGCAATGATTTCAAAGCTTAACATTATTATTAATAACTCTTTATGATACAAGTTTTGTTTAAAAACATGCAAGAATTCAATCTGAAAAAGGAATTGACGCTTTGCCACAAAACAATTTTCTAATCAAATTTCTAATGAAAATGATGCAAATGTAATGCTATATCTTGTAATGTAATTTAAACCTGTTTAAATCTTTAAATGGATTAGCATAAAATAAGTATTTAGATCTTAAAAAATTTTCTAATCCCTATATCTTTTCAACCCAAATTCGTAGACCTTAAATTTTGTATACTATGAATTCTGTTAGATTAAAAATAATCTATGTTTGAAATATCAAAAGTGTACACCTTTAGGTTGCAAAGATACAGGGATTAAAAAATGGAAATCTGTGGCAATCACTCAATTTTTTTTATATTGAATGGATACGTTTATGGTTAAACTAGAATACATGAACAACATCACTTAATTGTACTTTGCAGTTTGTGTGCTCTTACATTTTATGTCACTAAGATGGGTGAGACAAAGGAATTGAGTCTTTGTCACAAACTCCGATTTTCAAATCATTTTATCTTTCCAACCGAATGTAGTAGTAGACCTTTGATATTTAAAACTATGAATTCTATTAGGTCAAATAATCTAAGTGTGAAATATCAAAGGTTTACAAAACAAAGTTGCAAAGATATAAAGATTACAAAAATTTGAGTTTGTGGCAAATACTCAATTCGTTAACCCCCTTTTCCCATTCTCCTCCTCTTTTATAAAATCTGATACCTGTAATTTGGATTCAATTCCGACGTTTAAATGAATAAACTTTTTCTTCGCGTCAAAATTTTGCAAATCATTCACTGTAAATTCATGAATTTATTGGATTTGTATTAGGTTATTTGATACAAATATAGAATTAATTAAGATAAAGTGTGATGCTTTTAAACTAAAAGCTTTTTATAAAAAGGCAATTTGCAACACATCATAAATCGTGATTTAAAAATTCTGAAATGTTCATGAAATTTCCTAAACACATCCAGTTTCCATGATCCTCGGGTTTAACCTAAACAGAAATTTCTTTGTAAGCTTTTATAATTTTGAATACTTTGTTTATGGGGAGTTTAGCTTTATAATTTTCCAAAGGTTCTTTTAACCAAATGGAAAATTTATGTACGAATTATTAACGGATATGATAAGGGAAAACGTCAGTCGGGATAGGTTGGGAGAAAGCTCTCAATTGGGAAAAAGCTCAAAATTCTAAATTTGGAAAATTTGGGAATGAAAAAAAGTTAAACAAGCTGAATGGCTGGACCGATTGGTCTGAAATTTTTTTGTGGACACTCAGGGGTGGTCGGGGGGTGTTATAGGGTGAAAAAAATTTGACATTTAAAAATAAATCCAAATTTTTTTTCCACGGGCAACGCTAGTAAACTATCAACGATGCATTCAAAATAAATTGCCGAAAATATTTAGCTTTTCGAATTTTTTTAAATTTCTTTTTATTGCTTTTGAAATCGGGAAATATTCTCGACAATCTGCTCAGAACACAATTAGAGAAGCTTATTTTTTTCATGCTGAGAAGTTTTGTTAACGGTTTCAGATCGGTTTCAGATCGGTTTCAGAACGGTTTCAGCTCTCTGCAACTGAGAAACGAAGAATAACCAGTTATCTAGATTGAATATTTTTTTTAAGTTGTAATCTATATATAAATTTGGCTTGTTTGTCTGTCTGTTTGTTTGTCTGTTTGTTTGTCCGATCATAACTCAGGAACCCCTGGACCGATTTGCCACAAATTTTGGTTGAGAACTCGGGAGGCCCACGGGAATGTTCTTAAATTGGTTTTTAAATTCTAAGTTGAGTGGGTCGACTTTAATAGCGAAAATTTGGTTTCCAGGTAATATCGTTCAAGTGCGGGTAAACGGCGGGAGTGACTTTTATCAACCTTGTTAGCGCTGGGTTCCCAAGTTAGATTAAACATAAAGAAACACTTTATAATTGAACTTCCGATTTCCGTGTTAAAATCATTTACTTTGACAATTGTTCTTATCGTTATGCTATTTGTCTTTTTAATTTTCATAATTTCATCTGTCTTCCCACCCGTGTTCCCATGATAAAGTTTTTCTTTACAATAAAAATCATGATATGTTTTTAACAATTTACCTGTAGGATAATGTTCTAGTGTAATGTGTTATTCCCTCTAGACTCTGCATTACCATACAACTAAAATAAAAACAATATTGTAATACAGTGATAAGCATAAAATAGTTAGACGACTGTTAAACTCAAGTTTTGACTTTAAATAGTCCATTAAACATGAGACACAGTAAGTGAGCAGTGTAAACAGACCTTTTTTTAGTTAATAAGTGATTAGATAAGTTACCAGTAAAACTAATTACTTTTTAACACCATAAAATACAGTTTATTTTACACTTATTATTAAAATATCGTCTTCTTGTTCCACAGTTTTCTGGTTCTCACTGTATAAGAATTTTTACCATATTATTTTTGTACATTTTACATTTAACTTTTGTATATTAGACTGTTCAATAAAAATTTCTACTTTAAAAGTTAAAGTAAATTTACCTAATTGTTCTGTTGTTATCGTCTAAACTTGGAATATATCTGGGGAAAAAACACTTTTTTCAAAACTTTGGAAAAAACTTTTTTTACAATCATAGGGTGGATATAATGAATAAAAAAAAGTTTGAGGAAAGGAAAAAGGGGGGGAGGGTAGAAATAATATAGAAAAAAAAACAAGTTGAAACGGTTTATGCTATACTCTGCAGTTTTTACGTTTTTCTTTATCAAACCAAATCAACAAGACTATTTTAAATTGCAGTAAATAATATAGAAGTCTCAAAGTATACAAAATTCTTGGTTTTTGGTTAAAAACAAAGGTTTTTCGAAAAGTAAAGATACGGGCATTGATCAGATTATTATTTATTTGCATCAATTTAAAGCTGATTTGATGACAAATCTTATTTGTTTAAAAAACAATGGAGTGATATTTGACGCAGTAAAACGGTCAACAAGGTGCCCAATGCCCAATTTCTACGACTAATAACGAGTGACACCTTTATAACGCGAGTAAACCGCGTAATTTTTTCACAAGAGCTGGTGCGTATCTCACAGTGATCCAAAAGTTCCAAGATCTCAAGCCAATATTTATAAGAATCTTGCTGAATACTTAAAAAAACTAAAGCTTAAAATAGGTTCTAAAATGAATAAACTAGTGTGTGTTAGTAGGTTAAAATAAAAAACAAGGCGTTGTGACGCTTTGAATTCGACCCTGTCTTAAAGAATGATGCAACTTTTGAGAGTAGTCAGGATTTTTGTGATACTTGGAACATTCTTTTGATAAGACGCTTGTTGATATTAGTAAATTAGTAAGTAAGTTAGTAAGTAAGTAAGTTAGTAAGTAAGTTAGTAAGTAATTATTTATTTATGAATTATATAAAAGTAATGATGAAGAAAAGTGTCCCTGACTCTCTGCATAACAGATCCAGTGTAAGAACCAGGATCCCGCTCTGTGGACGCCTAAATATAATCATCTAATTAGGGAATATTTCTCTAAATAGTTCCCTAAATGATTCACAATCAGTTGTCTTTACCAAATATATATATTCAAATAATCTATGGCAAGATGCTATTTATGCTATAAATAAACTAGTATTGAGATTTGAGACCTGGATCATATTTCGAGCAAATATTTTACTAATTTCATCATATTTCATCAAATCATTTAGAAACTTCATTTTTAGATTAACATCAAAATTTTAGAAATTTTACTAGTTTCTAGTTTATAGTTTCTTGTTTCTAGTTTCCAGTTTCCCGTTTCTTGTTTCTTGTTTCTAGTTTTTAGTTTCTAGTTTCTATTTTTTAGTTTCTAGTTTCTAGTTTCTAGTTTCCAGTTTCTAGTTTCTAGTTTCTAGTTTCTAGTTTCTAGTTTCTAATTTCAAGTTTCTAGTTTCTAGTTTCTAAATTTCTAGTTTCTAGTTTCTAGTTTCTAGTTTCTAGTTTCTAGTTTCCAGTTTCTAGTTTCTAGTTTTTAGTTTCTAGTTTCAAGTTTCTAGATTCTAGTTTCTAGTTTCTAGTTTCTAGTTTCTAGTTTCTAGTTTCGAGTATCTGGTTTCTAGTTTCTAGTTTCTGGTTTCTAGTTTCTAGTTTCTAGTTTCTAGTTTCTAGTTTCTAGTTTCTAGTTTCTAGTTTCTAGTTTCTAGTTTCTAGTTTTTAAAGATCTGGAATATTTAACCTGTCTCCTTGTATTCTCTATATATTTTCAATATGTCAAATCTGAATNTTTCTAGTTTCTAGTTTCTAGTTTCTAGTTTCTAGTTTCTAGTTTCTAATTTCTAGTTTCTAGTTCTAGTTTCTAGTTTCTAGTTTCTAGTTTCTAGGTTGTAGTTTTCAGTTTTCAGTTTTTTAATTTCGAAATCGGAATTTGAAAAATTAAAAGTAATTTTGTTAAACTCGAACCAGCGCGGCGTGAGTTAAAACAGTGTACAATATCCACTGTACAGTAGATATATATATAAATGAGAAATGCATTTGATAAATGATCAGAAGTTAAAGCAAAAACTGAAGCTGGCTGGCAAACAGACCAAACCAAACCTTGATGCATCACTACAGTTGTACTTTCATGCACCCTGCAGTTGCACTCTTTTCGTACTTTCATGCACCCTGCAATCTTTTCGTAATTTCATGCACCCTGCAATCTTTTCGTAATTTCATGCACCCTGCACTCTTTTTGTATTTTCATGCACCCTGCACTCTTTTCGCAATTCCATGCACACTGCACTCACTTCATACTTTCATGCACCCTGCACTCACTTCGTACTTTCATGCACCCTGCACTCATTTCGCACTTGCATGTACCCTGCACTCACTTCGCACTTGCATGCACCCTGCACTCGCTTTGTACTTTCATGCACCCATCACTTTTTTCGTACTTTCCTGCACTCTAAACTCTTTTCGTATTTTAATGCACCCTGCACTCACTTCATACTTTCATGCACCCTGCACTCTTTTCGTATTTTCATGCACCCTGCACTCACTTCTCATGTGCATGCACCCTGCACTCACTTCGTACTTTCATGCACCCTGCACTCACTATGTACTTTCATGCACCCTGCATTCACTTCGCACTTGCATGCACCCTACACTCACTTCGCACTTGCACGCACCCCGCACTCGCTTTGTACTTTCATGCACCCTGCATTTTTTTCATATTTTCATGCACCCTTTAATCACTTCGTGCTTTCTTGCACCCTGCACTCACTTTGTGCTTTCTTGCATCCTGCACTCACTTCGTGCTTTCATGCACCCTGCGATCACTTTGTACTTTCATGCACCCTGCACTCACTTTGTGCTTTCTTGCACCCTGCACTAACTTTGTACTTTCATGCACCCTGCGCTCACGTTGTACTTTCATGCACCCTGCACTTACTTCGTACTTTCATGCACCCTGCACTCACATCGTGCTTTCATGCACCCTGCACTCACTTCGTACTTTCATGCACCCTGCACTCACTTCGTACTTTTATGCACCCTGCAATCACTTCGTACTTTATCATGAGGTACAGTATAAGTGGAAAAGATTTTAAATAAAAAACAAAGCAAGCGTTCTGTATTTGTTTGTTACAACATGATGAATCGTATTCAAAATATTTGAGTGTTAAGTGAACACTTGGCGCAGATTCTAGTTTTCTAATTTGTATATCCTCGCAACCTGATTTTGTAGACCTTTTATATTTCAAGTCTGTGAATTGTACAACATAGATAAGTTGATCAAAATTTGCAATATCAAAGGTTTACATCATCAAGATATAGGGATTAGAAAATTATAGATTTAAGTATTCAGAGTCTTAAATCTGAAATACAATTTTAAGTGGAACCAACCATATTTGAGCCGTGGCTCAAATTCGTTAAATTCGGCCTCAGTTCCTTTATAAGGCGGAATTTTAAGGCAATGTTAGGTAAACCTTAAAACCCTTATCTCAGTAACAATGGCGAAAAACTTGCCTGTATATACAAATATCACTGGATATACAATTGTATGAAATGTCAGGCATTTTATTTAAAGTAATTAATTAGATTAAATTATCAAGACAAGAAACCCTAAATACTCAGGTATAAAGGTTGTGTAAAAGTACTTGTATGTTTATAATAAAAGACCGAATACAAGTAAAAAGTACATTTACCAGGATTTTTTATTTTCCTATAATATTTGTTTTCATAATATTAGAATTTAGAAACCTGAGGGGTTGGACTGTGAAAGATTGGTAATTTAGGAAGGTAAAGAAGGAAGGAACGTTACTGAAGGATGGGAAGGTATTGAAGGATGAGAATGTATTTAAAAATGGGAAGGTATTGGAGGATGGGAAGGTATTGAAGGATGGGAGTGTATTTAAAGATGGGAAGGTATTGGAGGATGGGAAGGTATTGAAGGATGGGAATGTATTTAAAGATAGGAAGGTATTGGAGGATGGGAATGTATTTAAAGATGGCAATCTATTGAAATATGGGAAGGCATAAAAAATGGGAAGGAACTGAAAGCTGGGAATGTATTGATGGGAAGGTATTGAAGGATGGGAATGTATCTAAAGATGGGAAGGTATTGAAATATGGGAAGGTATTGCAATATGGGAAGGAACTGAAAGCTAAGAATGTATTGATGGGAAGGTATTGAAGGATGGGAATGTATTTAAAGATGGGAAGGTATTGAAATATGGGAAGGAACTGAAGGATGGGAATGTATTATTAGGCAGGTATTGAAGAATGGGAAAGTATTTAAGGATGGGAATGTATTGCTGGGAAGGTATTGAAGGAGGGGAATGTATTAAAGGATGGGAATGAATAGAAGGATGGGAATTTATTGAAGGATGGGAATGAATAGAAGGATGGGAATGTATTGAAGGATGGAAATGTATTGATAGGAAGGTATTGAAGGAGGGGAATGTATTTAAGGATGGGAATGTATTAAAATATGGGAAGGAACTGAAGGCTGGGAATGTATTGCTGGGACGGTATTGAAGAATGGGAATGCATTGAAATATGGAAAAGTCCGAAGGATGGGAATGTATTGCTGGGAAGGTATTGAAGGATGGGAATGTATTGAAGGATGGGAAGGTATTGATGGATGGGAAGGTTTTGAAGGATGGGAAGGTATTGAATAATGGGAATGGACAAGGAATCGTCAACCTTCAAATTTGTTAAAAATGGTGAGCTTAAAAAAGTATCTTCATCTTGCAAAATTTAAGACGTCTGCTTGCGAACAAATCCGATAGGTCAAGCCTGTCTCATTCGTCTCATTGTAAATGAGAATACACATAGTACTATGTACAGTAAAATATAACAAATGGAGATATACAACCCCCCC